GAGCCACAGCCGGGGTGGAGCAGTGCCTTCGTCTGAGGCTGAGACCAAAGCCCTGTTTAATTACCCCAGCCAGGGGCTGGGCGGGAGGAGCAGGGTGCCAGACTCGACATGCAGGTCGCAGCTGGGTTTCAGGCCTGGGGCTCTCGGGGACGCCCGAGGACGGGCGGGCTTGGCTGGAGCATCGCTGCTCCGGGGGCTCAGCCTGCTCTGGGACAGCTCCTGCAGGAAAGCCGGATCCCTGGGCTGGCACACCAGGGCTGCAGCTCGGTGGTCCCTGCACGCTCGGTCCTGCTTGCTGGAGGATGCGGGGCATAAGCAGGGATGCAAAAGCAGCCCTTTCCCTGCCACAGGGATGCGGGGCAGCCCTGATGGTGCTGCTAGGTGGGGAGCAGTGCTGAGCATGCTCTGTGCACCCCCTCTGAGAGCAGGGGGTCCCCAAAACCCCCGTGGGGTTGCTGGGCACCACCCTTGCCCTGGTGCAGAGGGTGGGAAGCCATCCTGGAGCAGCGGGAGCTGATGGCCACCGTCCTGAGTCCTGTGGTGGCTTGGGGTGGCCCTGGAGCTGGGTGGAGGGAATTGGGGAACCCCCCTTGGTTTTGGGGCGGGGGAGACCCAGGGCCTGCCCTTGGTGGAGCCAGGCGGCTGGGGATGGGCATCGTCTCCGCTGTGGCTCTGTTGGGGGTCCCGGTCCTCCAGCTAACACCAGTGCCGGGGTCTGGCAGCGAGATCAGCCACAGTTTCTTCCGTTGCCCCCTCGCAGGTGCCCTCGGCTCAAGGGAGGAGCCCGAATTTGTGACCGCTCGCGCTGGCGAGAGCGTGGTCCTGGGATGCGACGTGATCCACCCGCTCACGGGGCAGCCCCCTCCTTATGTTGTGGAGTGGTTCAAGTTTGGCGTCCCCATCCCCATCTTCATCAAGTTTGGGTTTTACCCTCCCCATGTCGACCCAGAGTATGCCGGTGAGTCCAGGGGGGGCACGGGGGTATGAGGGGGACGTGCCGGGTCCTGACTGCGACGCAGCCAGGGGTGTACGGCTCCGCTCCATCCGCTCCTCTGTCGGAAACCACGCGGGCCCTGCCTCTCGTTGCTTGCTTTCCACCCAGTTGGTTTTAATTAAGCAGCAGCGCTAGGAAGCCAGCTGGGCTGTGTGGGACGGGAGCAAGCGAGGCAGAGAA